GGGATGGGGGGGGGTCCGTACCCCCTTGTGCAGGATGGTGCTGCACATTACTAGGGGAATTACGGTAGTGCTGATGGGACCCTAAATATGGGGGGGGCGGGACTTGGGGAGAACCTAACCAATGGCATTTCCCCAATTCAGGGTGGGCGGGTCCTGGGAACAAGCCCAACCAACGACAATTCCCTGATTCAGGGTGGGCGGGACTTAGGGAGAGCCCGACCAATGACATTTCCGTAATTTGAGGTGGGCGGGACTTGGGAAGAGCCTAACCAATGGTGTTTCCTGGTCTTGGCATGGATGGGTCTTGGGAACAGCCGACCAATGGCATTCACGGCCCCATCTTCTCTCCCATGCCTGGTGGCTGATGGCCATGGTGGTGGGACCACCACCTGTCCCCAAGTGCCACCTGCGAGCCAGGCACCAAAAGATCCTCCCACGGCGGCCTTTGAAGAAAAGTCCGTGTTGTGGCCAAGCCATGGGACTTGGTGCCACCGGGCCCCAGTAGCCGAGTCCTCCTTGGAGAGCTGAAACATTTCCAGAATGCCACCTCTGGAAGTAGGGAAACCATTTTCCCCATCATCTACTCCTTTTTGGGGCCACAAAGCTCCCAGGACATCTATACGCATCATCTCAGACCCTCAGATTGGGGGTCAAAGGACAATGAGTAAACCCTGAAGGACTCCCAGTGGTGGGGCAGGATGGAGAACCTCATCCCTGGCAGCTCATACGGGGGATTAAAAAGTCACATTCGAAACCAACATGTGACCACCGGTCTAAGAAGAACCTAGTAGATGTTCAGTTCAGTGATCCTTGTTGGGTTGGCTGACCCTTGTTGGGTCAGCTGGCCCCTGATGAGTTGGCCAACCCTTGCTGGGTTGGCTAACCCTTGTTGGATTGGTCACCCCTTATTGGGCGAGCCAGCCATGATTGGGTTGGGTGAGCCTCATTGGCTTGCTGGCTCTTGTTGGGTTGGCCAACCTTTGTTGTGTTGGGTGACCCTTGTCTTATTCATTCCTGTTGGGTTGGGCTATCTCCTATTGGGTAGGCCGCTGTTGGATGGCCAGCCGTCGTTGAGTTGGGCAACCATCATTGCTTGCTTACTCTTGATGGGTCGACCAACTTCCACTGGGGTTAGCCAATCATCGTTGAGTTGGCTGGCCCTTCTTGGGTTGGCTAACCCTTGTTAGGTTGGGTGGCCCTCACTGAGTTGGCCAACCGTTGTTGGGTTGTTCATTCCCATTGAGTTGGACATCTCCTATTGGGTTGGCCATCCCAATGACCATTGTTGAGTTGGGCAACCATCATTGGTTGGTTGCCCTTGCTGACTTGACCAACACCCATTGGGTTGGAGGACTCATCCGCCAGTGTCCTGCGTTCCTCAGTGCCATCACAAGGCCAGGCCACTTGTAGTCACGTGTCTTGGTGCTTGTGAGACCAAGGGATAGAAGAGCACAAGTGAATGAAACAGGGTCTCTGTCTTAAAATAAAATCAACTTTTCCTTCTGCAAAGTCGTAAATTGGAGGGATGGTGGGAAGGATCTGAGCTCAAGATGAAGCCCAGGGCCATGAATGGAAGCTGGGTCTGTGGATGACCCTGGAGAAGAGGCAATGCCTGGGATTTGTCTTGAAATCTGAGTCTAGTCTTGGAGGGGGGGAGGTTGAAAGGATGAAATTTCCCACCATACATCACAAAGCTTTAATTTCTCGTGCCTTCCCATCCACCCTCTCATTGGCTTCGCCAGGTGACACTGGCTCTGCCCATGACCTTGCCACAGCCTGCGTTCTCCCAGTGTCCTGCCCTGGCGAGAAGTGGGAGCCGTGGCAGCACAGATGTGGCCCTCCAGCCTTCCCTGGGTGCTCGGAGGTTGCTGGAGCATCACTGGTTGTCCCTCATGGTGTCCTGGATCCACTGGGCGAATCTGCAGATCTTGGTGTAGACTCCAGGTCTCCTGGGCTGCCCGCATTTCTCCATGCCCCAGGACACGATGCCTTGGAGGGTCCCGTTGCAAACCAGAGGTCCCCCAGAGTCGCCCTGTGGAAAGAGGTGATGTGAATTGGCCATTCCCCTATTGGGTCAGCCAACTCTCGTTGGGTTGGCCAGCTCCCCATGGATTGGCGCACCATCATTGGACTGGGTGACCTCATTGGACTGGGTGACCTCATTGGGTTGGATGACCTCTCTGGATTGGCTAACCACCACTGGGATTGGTCTCCTCCAATTAGGCTGACCACCTCCAGTTAGGTTGGCCAAGACTTACTGGATTGATAAACCATGGCTGGGTTGGCCACTCCCTCCCACTGGGCGGTCCAGCTATCATTGAGTTGGCCCACCATCGCCAGGTTGGGTGACCTCATTGAGTCAACCAACTTCCATTGGTCAGCTAATGCTTGGCGGCTTGTTGAACCATCACTGGGTTGACTGACCACACCATGGGTTGTCCAACCACTGTTGAGTTGGCCAACTACAACCGGGCTGGTCAACCACTGTTGGGTCAAGAACCAACACTGGGTTGTCCAACTCCTGTTGGATTGTCCAGCTACCGTTGAGTTGGCCAACTGTAACTGGGTTGAACAACCCTTGTTGGGTTGATGAATCATCACTACGTTGGCCAACGTCCGCTTTGGGTTGTCCAACTCCCGCTGGGTTATCCAACCACTGTTGAGTTGTCCAACTGTAGCCAGGTTGGCCAACCCTTGTTGGGTCAAGGAACCAACACTGGATTAAACAACTTCTCTTGGGTTGTCCAACCATCGTTGAGCTGGCCAACCATAGCCAGGTTGGCCAACCCTTGTTGGGTCAATGAACCAACACTATATTGTCCAACTCCCCTTGGGTTGTCCAGCCACCATTGACCGGGTTCCGCCCAGCCAGCAGGGAAGACCGTAGACCCCCTTGTGGTGGCCAGGGGGACGTGTCCCCTTCTGCCACTTGGGTCCACCATGGAGAGAGCCCCCTGGGGACAAGCTGGCCGTGGCCAGGGGAGGGATATTTTGGCCGTACCTGGCAGGAGTCCCTACCACCGCTGAGGCTCCCGGCACAGAGCATGTTCTCAGTGATGTAGCCAGGGTATAACTGCTGACACGTGTCTGTCGAGAAGATGGTGACGGTGACGCACTGCAAGACGTCCGGGTAAGAGACTGAGACGGGAAGCAGAGATGGGGACAGGGGACGGAGGAAGAAAGAAACCAGAGCGATCGACCCAGGAACCGGCAGAAATTCACACCCCCTCACCCCAAAACTCCCCGTGCCAACCCCCCACCCCACGGGTCGGGAGCTGCATCTCCCCCAGCAACTCGTTCGGAGATGTTTCTGCAGCCTGGTTTAGGGAGAAAAAAAAATGCCCTCTTTGGGAGCTTTCCCAAGCTCCCAGCTGGAAAGCCTGCAGGAAGACATCCCATGGTGGGAAAAGCCACCTTCTGGGAGGATTTTGGGGTTGGAAAACCCAGAAATGGGCTTTTCTGCCCTAAAAAGGTCTAATTCGAAACAAAAAAACAACTAAAAAACCCCACAGGTTGGAAAGTTATACCTTGTCCAGGCCAGCCCATCTCTTTCCACAACGACCTTCCTGTGCAATTTGGCGAGTTCTCTTTAGTTTTATTACATTTTCCTTTTAATTGAATCCTTTTCCCTTCTAATTTAATCTTAGGATACTTTGTTTTTGCTCCACTTCACCTCATTTTGGCCGATTTGTCTTTTATTTCCTCTGATTTTTTAAAAATTTGCTTTAATTCTATTCCATTTTGTTTCATTTAATCTTAAATATTTTGTGTCGCCTCACGTCATTTAGCTTTTTTTTTTTTTTTAAGAATATTCATTTCTGGATTTTCCGCTTTAATTTTATCTTAACTCATTTTCTTTTGTTCAAATTATCTTTGCTTCTTTTAGTTGGCTTTCATTTTATTGGCTTTTCCCCTGTCTCCTTTAACTTCTTTTCATCTGATATTATTAGATTCTGTTTATTTCTCATTTTATCTGTTAGTAAATGTATAGAATTTTATATATTTTTAGGTTATTCCTTCTTTTTTTTTTAAAATTTCATTGAGTTTTGCTGTAAGTTAACCTGATTTCATGTTATTTCTTCCTTCTTTCTGTCTCTTCTGCCCTATTTTGTTCCCTTTCTCAGGAGAGGCACCCAGGTGTCCGGGAGAGGACCCAGGAGTCCGGGAGAGGACCCAGGTGTCTGTGAGGGACTCAGGCATCTGTGAGGGACCAAGGCATCCAGAAGAGGACCCAGCCGTCCAGAAAAGGACCAAGGCATCCAGGAGAGGATACCTAGGTGTCCAGGAGTGAACCCAGACCTCTGGGAGACGACCCAGATGTCCAGGAGAGAATTCAGGCTTTTGAGAGTGGACTCAGGTGTCCAGAAGAGGACCCAGATGTCCAGGAGGGACCCAAGTGTCCAGGAGTGGACCTAGGCATCCAGGAATGGACCCAAGCATCCAGGAGGGGGTCTGCAGACCACTGGGTACCTTGTGGGGATGAGGTGGCCCCCCATCCCGAGGTGACGCAGGAGGTGCCAGGCTGCGGGGGGCAGGAGGCCACAGGGATGGGCTGGACCCTGGTGGTGACGGTGATGGGCGTCACGAGCTTCAGCAGCATGATGTCGTTGTCCTTGGTGGTGGGGTTGTAGTCGGGGTGCGGCACCGACTTCAGCACCCGCTTCTGCTGCTCACCCGATTCCCGGGCGAAGAGATTGTGCTTGCCCAGGCGGATGCTGGTGATCCTGGGGGACGCGCGGGGGACACAGACATGGGGCTTGGAGCCTGGGACATGGTCCTGGTGCTTGAGGGTTGCAGCACACACGGCCAAGACATGGAGAACGTGGCCTGTGTATGGGACATAGAGACCATGGTGCAGCCACGGCATGTGTGGGACATGGCACGGCCAGGACATGTGACACTGAGGTCATGATGCATGCATGGGACAGAGCACGTGTGGGTCACAGCATGGCCAGGACACGCAACATCAAGACCATGATGCGTGCATGGGACAGAACATGTGTGAGACACGGCACAGCCGGGACACATGTAACACCAAGACCATGTTGCGTGAGTGGGATGGAGCATGTGCATGCATGGGGTGCATCTTCCCCGCAGGAAGCAGGCTGGGCCACGGCACACGCGTGGCACACGTGACAGCACCCTTCCTTACCCCGGCGTGGTGCAGTGGGCCGCCGTCACCCCCCACTGGGTGGTCACGAGGACGCCGCCGCAGTAGAGCTTGTACATGTC